ACTTATTTTCACCAAAAAAAATTCTGCAAACAAACCCTTAATTTTTTTTCCGTGCAATTTGCAAATGTGTGTAGAAGAAGAATCCTAGAATGGCTGTAATGCCCAGCTATCAATTCCACCCACAAACCACTTTCTTGATGGATTCATTACAGACCTCAGTCTCCAAATTCCATGTCCGAACAGCCCTACAGTTCCTCCGCTACAGTTCTTCCAATTCCGCCAAGAAGCAATTTTTCTGCGCTAATTTCACCCCACAGAAAAACCCACATAAAACATTCACCAATCATTCGCCGAGCGCGAATTACATGAATAGCAGAGCGATTTCATCTCGTAGTTCTTGGTTGGATAATTGGAATGCAACCCTAATTTCAGATAAACCCAAAAAGCCCCAACCGGTGATGAATTATTGCAACAGGGGCGATGTTTCGAGTTCCGATTCCGAAGAGGGCACGAGCACGAGCACCGGCGGCACGACGATGGAAAGAATCGTCGAAAAATTGAAGAAATTTGGCTATAAAGACGATATCGATGACGAGAGTGAGTCTACAAAGGGAGTGATCGAAAAGGGGTCGATTGAGGACATATTCCATGTTGAGGAAGGAATATTCCCTAACACACGTGGCGGGTTTTCGGAGAAATCCCCGTTCGGAGACGAGAATGTGAACTTCCCATGGGAGAGAAAAAGAGCAGCCAATGAAGAGAGAGGGGGTAGTGTGATAGTCGAAAGAGCCGTAGTTTGGCTGAGTTGACTCTGCCCGAGTCGGAGTTGAGGAGGCTGACGAATTTGTCTCTTCGGGTTAAGAACAAGACCAAGATTAGTGGTGCAGGGGTGACTACACAGGTTGTGGAGATGATTAAGGAGAAGTGGAAAAGTTCGGAGGTCGTTCGGTTGAAGGTTGAGGGGGCGCCTGCACTTAACATGAGACGAATGCACGAGATTTTGGAGGTGAAACTAATTTAAAAAAAAAAAAAATCGGAATTGTTTTATCTGTTTTTTTTTTGGTTAGTTGATCGTTGCTCGAGTTTTGGTGTGTTCTTTAGTCGCTACATGTTGCATGTGTCTACGTAAACAAGTCGCCTTTAGGGATTATAGTACGAAAATTGCATATTTGTTGTGCATTTTAACAGAATGTCATGGCCGATTTTAAGCAGTATACTTAGGCCTCGTTTGGTTGCCTAGATAGAATTAGCCAAGATAGGAGTAAATAATCTAATGAAAACCGAATGGATTTATCGGACCCCGGAAGGTCCAACGAAAAAGCTCCTTAAAAGGATGCATGATAACATAATATTTCCGAGTCGACCCGAGAAGTTATTGGGATTACCAAACATCAAACAGAGTTCAATTATTTAGTTAATCATGGCTAATCTCTCCAACCAAACGAGGCCTTACAGTTATTTTCAATCAATTGTACCAACTGAATAATATCATTCTTAATAGAATTCTTTATTCTGAATTTCCATTGACTAGAGAAAAACCGGTGGACTGGTTATATGGAGATCCGGCACTTCCGTTTCGCTTTACAGAGGTGCGACGTACGAAGACGCCGCCGCAAAATTAAAGAAAAAAATATTCAAAAAACACGAAATATCTCTCAAGTCGTCCTCGTCAGCAACCGACAAGTCCGGTCAAGATTCTTCAGAGTTTGTCCCTCAAGCTGAATCAGCTAGCACCGATCAAGATGATAGCAGCAATCCTAAACCTTTATCCGAAGTGAAATACGAAGATGAAGTAGACAAGCTATTAGACAACCTAGGACCGAGGTATGAAGATTGGCCAGGGGAGGGCCCACTCCCTGTGGATGCCGATTTGCTGCCAGGTGTAGTTTCTGGTTATCGGCCCCCGTTTAGATTGCTTCCTTATGGTGTGAGGTCAACTCTTCCAATGAAGGAGTCGACTGCTTTACGGAGGCTTGCAAGAGTACTGCCACCACATTTTGCACTAGGTACGTAAAAACAAAAATAAAAATAAAAGACTTTTCTTTTTCTTTTTTGACGGGAATTTTGTAATCGGGAGTGAATTCTATGAAAAAAGTTGACGATTTCGAGTTTTTTTTTTTTTTTTTTTAATTGTTTTAAGGGAGAAGTAGGCAGCACCAAGGATTGGCTGCAGCTATGATAAAGCTGTGGGAAAGAAGTTCGATTGTGAAAATTGCACTTAAACGAGGGGTTCAGCTGACAACTAGTGAGAGAATGGCGGAAGATCTTAAGGTGACGTAATATTTCCCTATATTTCATTTTGTTTTTTAATTCAGTCGAAGAAGAAAGTAATAAGCTATTCGAATAAATAAAAAAGAAGGCTGTCAAATGCAGCAATCAATTTGTAAGGCTATTTATATATAGTTCAAAGTCTTATTTCTTGTGCATTCGTCTTCCAATGAGAGCATGTTGCAGCCTATGGGTGGAAACTGGAACGGAATTTCCGATTTCCACCGATTCCAATTTGAGTTTTCTGATTTCGGAACAATATTTTTCATTCCGATTTCCAAATTTGCCAATTTCTTTTTCGGGTTGGAATTGGAAAATGTATGAGATTCCGATTTTCGATCCAATATTAATTTCCAAATATTCTGACTTTCAAAATTATACCTTCAATACCAAAATTATTATTTATTTTATATTTTAGGTTACTATAATTTGGAATTTTCCGAATTCCGCTGATCTAAAAAAAATTCCGATTTTGGGACAAAAATTTTCATTCCAATAAATTCCGATTTCCGATTTTTCCGATTTGTTTGGAACATAATTGGAATTAGTTTTTCACTTCCAATAAAAATCGGGTTTTTTCCAGAAGTGCTAATTTTGATCCGATCCGTCCAATTTCCAACCCTATTTGCTGCCATATCGTAGTTTTAACTCACAAATACTGTTATTCTGTGGTGTTGGCATATATTTATTATAACACCTGTTAAATCGTGAATAATTGAGAACTTCTAAAAACCCGTTCGATTTATAAGTCGGAAATCACATATAAATTCTCGAAACTCAATAAAATGGTATATAGTTTCTCATTTTTCAAGAAAAAGCTAAATTATTTTTCCGATGCAGAGATTAACCGGTGGTATGCTACTATCTCGAAACAAAGACTTTCTTGTCTATTACAGAGGGAAGGACTTTTTATCCCCCGATGTAGCCGAAGTACTACTCGAGCAAGAGAGATTAGCAAAGGCTTTACAAGACGAAGAAGAACAAGCTCGCCTAAGATCTTCTCCCTTGCGGGTCCCACAAAGTGTCGAAGAGAATAATAATGAATTCGGAGTTGCGGGTACACTTCAAGAAACTTTGGATGCAAACGATCGATGGGGCAAAAAACTCGATCAAGATCACAAGCAAAAAGTGATGAAAGAAGCGGAAGTTTTGAGGCATGCCAATCTTGTGAGGAAGCTCGATAAGAAGCTTGCTTTTGTAAGTTTTTTCCGATAGCTTTTGGGCTCGATATATTAATCATCATTTTTGTGCTTCTATTTTCAAAATTTTACGTGTTATTTATTGGGTTTATTGCATTTAGTACCCCCCCATGTTTTTATCAAATTGCTAAAAAGAACCCCGTGTTATTAATATTAGCAGAAAAACCTCTATTATGCAATTTTTTTTAGCAAACTACCCCGTAAAATCTCACCATTTAGGGGACTGTGTGCTACTAACACGATTAGCAAGTCGATAAAACATAGGGGTACTAAATGCAATAAACTCGTTATTTAGTAATTAATATCTTAAATTATGAAAAAAAAATTCTAAACAGGCTGATAAAAAGCTAACAAAAGCCGAACGAGCATTATCGAAAGTGGAGGAATCCTTAAATCCAGCGGATCGAACAGAAGACCCTGAAAACATTTCCGATGAAGAAAGGTTTATGTTCCGGAAGCTTGGTTTAAGGATGAAGGCATTTTTACTTCTCGGTAATATAAAAAACATACTTTTTTTTTAATCATCGGAATATTTTGTGACAATTATTTTTTTCAGGGAGGCGTGGAGTTTTTGGCGGCACGGTGGAGAACATGCACTTGCATTGGAAATATCGAGAATTAGTAAAGATTATTGTTAAGGCTCCAAATATCGAGGAAGTGAAGAATATTGCACTATCGCTCGAAGCTGAGAGTGGCGGTGTATTGGTTTCGGTGGACAAAATATCGAAAGGATATGCGATAGTTGTTTTTCGGGGCAGGGATTATAAAAGGCCTCCACTTTTGAGGCCGAAGAATCTTTTGACGAAAAGAAAAGCATTGGCTCGTTCGATTGAACTTCAAAGACGCGAGGTAAATTAAAAAATATTTAAAGATGATTTTCGAATAAATATTTTTTTTTATTGTGGAAAATCGTAATTTTTTTGTGGTTCTGATTTGTATTTACATTGTCTGTTAGGCCCTATTGAACCATGTTTCGGCCCTGCAATCGAGAGTTAATCAGCTCAGAAGTGAAATTGTATGGCTTTTTATTGTTAATTATTTTTTATTTTTTATTTTTATATATTTTTTTCTTCCTTGAATATTTGTGATATCATTGTTTGGTAATTTGTAGCGACAAGTGGAGGCTGTAAAAGATCGTGGCGATGAAGCACTGTACAATAAACTCGATTATGCTTATTCCACTGATGACGAGGACAATGAGGTTTGTTTTGTACTTGATCTAAAAAAAATACATCGATCGATTTTTTTTTAATTTTTTTGATTGTTTCTTTGTGCTCGATCTTTTACAGGAGGAAGGAGACGAGACTTACATCGAGTCCTACGATAGTGAAAATGACATGGCAGATGAAAATGATGATTCGGTTGAAAATTCGTATTTGGAGACGAATTTTCCTTATGATATTCAAGAGGAATCGGAAACCGAATTTGCCGAGCGATAGATAAATAGCCGGTGAACACGATTATTAATGTAATCATAATTGAGTATATTATATCAGGAAAAAGAAATGCACTGAATGAAATTTGCTTATGAATGACACTATACACTACAGGTTTTTTAGGTTGAAGATAAGTGTATCTATCTATCTATCTATATCTATCTATACTACTTATAAAAGTGGGAATGATTGGGTGGTTTCTTCCATTTTTTGATTGTCCAAAAATGCCCTTCAAAGCAACTAACAGACATCATAGAATTCTTATAATTCGTGTTTTTAGAAACAACAAAATTAATGTAAGTTTTAAATTACACTAAAAATTATTATATTTTCTTCCTTCATAACACAATGAAATAATTAATATTTAATATTCTAAAACAAACGTAATTAGAGGAACCGAAAAGTCTAAAACCATTTTGAGAAAATTGACTTATATGGTACAGCCATTTAGTGATACATGTTAGTCTCTTCAAATACCTTGATCTTTTCATATTTGAGAGCCTCTTTTAGTATATCAAAAAGCCGATCTTTGGTGTCAATAATTATCAATGTAAATAGCCAATAGGACAAAATTCTTCTAATCATTCTCAGAATTCTTTGGACGAAAATTGGTGGAGGAAAGATGAAGAGTACAAGAGACATGTTGTTGGATTCACCAAGAAAAATGATGGAATTCAATTCCTGAATTTTTAGGCTTCATAAATTTTTGTTTGAATGTTCTGTTCTTCAACCCTTTTTGGTTTTTATATATGCATGCATCTATTTATATCATCTCGAAGACATATCTCTTTGCAACTCTGGATCAGACCTTTCTATTGTGTTCTAAGTTGTGTCCTCTTATATTTTGTAGCATAACCAAGTTGCATTCAAGTGCAACAATTAACAAGCACAAGGAAGACATAAAAAAAAAATCTAAGACCGCAGTAAACTGTGCAGAATCTCAAGAGATTCCGAGTACTCCAGAAACGTTAACAGCAGGTGATTTCACAACTTCCAATAAACTTTTTTCAAATATCAATATATCATATTAGTATGTGAGTTCTATTCTTTGAACTTTTTTCCAAAAGTACTATGCGAGCTTTATTCTTTGACTTGTATCAGAAACAAGGAAAATCAGAAAATCGGTGAACAACAATTACATACACTTAAC